CGGGGCTGCCCGGTCGCTGCGGTCACGCACAGGACCCAGCGGGGTGTCTGCCTCATGGCTGCACTCGATGAGGCTCTGTCAGGGCAATTTCCTGCCCCACATCACTTTATCCAGCTCTATAATGGGGTCAGCCAAATTAACGAGGCAGGGATTAGTTTGAGTGTGAAGAGGATGAGTGGAAGAAAGAACCAGGCTCGCAGGCGGGAGCCCTGTCCTGGGGGCGCAGTCAGACATGCTTTCCTCCCCCAGTGCAAGACTGAGCGTACAGGGTCATTTGATGGGGTGTATTTAGCCTCTTGCTTAGCCCCGCTGCTGTGTCTTGCCCAAAGTCTGGTACCCAGCAGATTCCTGGACCAGGACCATCACCTTCCTCCAGGGGAAGCCAACAGGGTTCTCAGCCCCGTACAAGAGGAGTGGCAGGGGATGTATCTCCATGTCCCGTCTGCTATAAGCTACGGGATGTGAGCACCCAGCAGTCCAGCCTTAGCCTTCCTTTCTGCTGGCCCCACTTCTCCTCCCTGGGAGGAACTCAGGCATCCTCTGGCTGGATTTGGGGCTTGCAGTGCTGAGACTCAGGTTGCTCTTAGCCTTGCTGGAGAACCAAACACCTTCACTGTACCACACAGAGCCATTCGAGATGCTGCCAAAGTCTCCCACCTGGTTCCCAAGGGCCCTGTGTCCTGTGGGTCCCACGTCACCTCTGCCTACCCGTGCCAGCCTCTGTAGCCCACGAGTCCCAATGGCAGAAGACGCCCACACCTGGGTGAGGGGTTGGAGCTCAGAGCCTCGCACCTGGGCATCCTGCACCAAACATCGGAGAGGAGGTGATGGAGGCCATGTCCTTGCCTAGGTGGTGGAGTCCTGAAGCACCATCCCACAGACACGGCCAGGAAATACAAGGGGAAAGCACAAAGCAAAGGTTTGGTGTCTTCAAGAAACCTCCCAAGGAGACATTTCATTGCACTTGCCAGACTCTCAGGGCTGAAACCTGGACAGACCTTCTGCACCTGAACCCACCTCTCCTGTTGGAAAAGCTGGATGCAATCCCAGCCCTAAATCCCAGCCCAAGCAAGACCTGTGCCGTGAGTTGCACCTCCTGAACACCAGAGGATGTCTGGGTGTCCTTCAGAGCAGATGTGACAAGTGCCGCTCACTTGCTGACCTGCACGTGAGGAAACAAGCGCCCATCACTGCAAAATGACCCATTAAAGATCAAAGCACCTACAGCAACAGCATCTGGGAGGTGCCTCCAGGATGCCAAGCAAAGAAATGGATCTTCCTGCCCCCAACCTGCTGCAAGGGCTCTAGGAGGTTTTCTTGACATGTGTGTTGTCATGCCAGGACAGTTCTGCTGTTTCATGTCCTTCCTCCAGTCCACAGCCTTGTGCTCGTTTCTCAGAAATCCTAAATTCAGGCAAGGTACCAGCCATTCGTTCATGGGAAGTGGGCACTGGTGAACAAGGGGTGTGACTGGAGCATCGGGTGCCACAATTAGGTGGGGCCTCTGCGGGGAACCGTGTGAGTGACTAAAACTCTTCAAGGGCAAGGACCAGAGAATCACAGAATCCTTGATGTTGGAAAGGACCTTTAAGATCATCGAGACCAACCGTTGACCCAGCACTGACAAGTCCACCACTGCTAAACCATGTCCCTAAGCGCCACCTCTACACATCTTTTGAACCCCTCCAGGGATGGTGACTCCACCACTTCCCTGGGCAGCCTGTTCCAGTGCTCAACAACCCTTTCGGTGAAGAAATATTTCCGAAGATCCAATCTAAAAGGATGCTGTGTGAACTCCAAACCAGTATGAAAACCACGTTATTCTCTCTGCTCCTCCAGCGTGCAGGCTATCTGTGTGTGTGAAGCTGTTTGGGCAAGGTGGAGGAGGCACATCTGAAGCAGAACGATTCGTCTTGAAGAGTGTACTCCAGTATGAACCCTGTAACTGTAGGGGAGCTTTGGGGTGCAGAGTCTTGCAAAGCCACCTGTACGCAGGCAACCGTGTCAGTAATGCTACAGAAGGCCAAGATTGCCTCAATCGTGACGTTAGATACAGCAAATCTGAGTATGGATGTAGCAGAAATGGGACCAATAAGGGGAAAAAAAGTAATTAGGGGCAGACTGGGCTGAGAAAAAGAGATGCTAAGGTAGAAATAGGAAAAAGAAGAGGAATAAGCCATGAAAGCAGGTGAAGAACCCAGGAAGACGGGATCTTTCGTTGGTTGGAGCCTGGATGCCTACAGATGGTGGTGACGCTGACCTGGGCACACAATTACACAGGATGCCCTTGGAAAACTCGCTGGGCTTTCCATCGGGGCTGTGTCCAAAAGACTTAGTGCAAGAGGGTAAAAAGGGAGAGACCTGCACCCTGGTATGAAGAGTTGTGGGGAGGGCAGGATGGTAAAACCGTAGTTCAGCAGTAGCAGTGTGTGATTCGTAAGGTTCAAGTGATACCTTTGTCGGTGTGTTTAATCACGTGCAAAATCTGATCATAGATTAATAATGATAACGTGATCATTAATTAATTAGGTTGTTGCTTATTCAAGTGATTTATCAGTCTCTTGGTAGGGTGTTGCTTAACCAGGACACACCATGGCCTTTTGAACACCTGCAGTCCGAAGAGGGAAGGGAAGGTCCCGAAGGAACGGCTTTGTATCGGAGAATACACGTGCCACGAGGCAAGAAAGCTCTCCCCCCGCTGCTGGCAGTGCCCAGATGTTCATGGCAAGTGGCGGTACAGCAGCAGCATAGACCAGCCCGTTGCAACTCCCAAGCACCATCAGATATGTCTTTGGAACACCCCCCCCCCCCCCCCCCCCCGAGGAAGACTCCCAAGGCAAACCCAGCAGCGGGAAAGACAAATAACATCAGTTTATTATCTTGGGGATATTATTTTGTAGGATGCTTGGAAGGTAACTTCTCTGCTTGATTTACCCATGAAAAACGAGGTTCCAGGCAAAACAAAACAGTGTAAAAGCTACAGAAACCATCAGGGAGCCAGCAGAGCATCAAGTGGGAGACAAGTAGTTGGGAGGAACGGTGCTTTGTCTCTACATCTGCCTTTCCCCTTCACTGAACCCTCTTTGAACTCATCTGCACACATGAAACAGGAACAAGGTAATCGAATTAAATATTCATCACCAAACACAATCAGGGCTGAGGCTGAGTCTCAGCCTCCATGTCTTGGTCCTGTGAGGAGGCAAACTCAGGAAAAAAGGAGGGTCTCTCTCTCTCCCTCTGCAGCTACCAGTGGAAAATTAAAAGACAGCAACAATGAATCTTCTTTACCTGGAATAAGGCAGTAAAAAAAGACTTAAAATCGCATCTGATCCTTCTTACCGACCACTTTTGGGGTGGATAGAAAATTCATCCAACATTCTTTGCCAGAGAAAGGATGGAAAGGTGAAAACGGAATGGAAAATGGAAAACCTTCCGCATTTTTTATTTTCAAATCCTTCCATTTGGAGTATTATCAGCACAGCGAGCTGATGCCCACGTGCGTGACACAATCCCCGCCAGAGAAGGCGAGGGCCACTGCAGACCTTCCTCCTCATTTGCCCGTGACGCTCTCCCTGGGTGATGCACACTGGCTCTCCCGTCTTTCCTCAGGGCCATCTCAGCACCTTGGAGCCACCCTAGCACATCCCTGCGATGGTGGACCTTCAGCACCAAACACACACGCAGCGATGTGAGCAGAGAAACTCTGCCAAGACCAGAGAGACGCTCGTCTTAGAGCATAAGACCTGGTCCGTCCCATCCTGTGTGGAAAACTCGTACAGGATTGCTGGTTCTTTGCTTCCCTCTAAAATCCCGTTGGGTTGGCAGCCAGAGCGCTCAACATCTCCACTGAAGGTAAGGTCCAGCCTGACTCCCATCACCCAGCCAACTGGATTTAGCCTTGGGGATGCCCAAGCCTGCCAAGAACTGCTGCTACCCGGTGGAACGGCAACCCGCATGCTTGTCTTTGCAAAGCCCTTCTCAGCGATCACTTCCATGTTTTTAGGAGAGCTTTCCCCGCCCCAACACTTGTTGAAGGTCTTGACACCTCTGCTGCTGGTTCAACTCTCTCAAAAGCGAACAGGCAGCAACAGGCATGGTGGCTCCAGGATCTCCAGCATCAGTTTTTGCTCACAGCAAACTACTTCCAGCCCTCTGTTCCCAACGTTCGATGTGAGGTGAAATGAAGAACATCCCAGGCTCCTTCACGGGGAGAGGTGGGGCCGGAAAGTACGTGGCCGGATCATCATGACCACCTTCCTCAGGGAGTAGTAGTCTGTGTCCTTCCACGAGTACCACACGATACCGTCCGGCCCCAGGATCTTGCGGTTTTTAATGGAGTATCGTCCGCCCTGTGATGCAGAGAAAGAAGGACGGTGAGGCATGGGAAACTCACAGAAGCATCATCTGGGTGAGAGCATTGGAAAACCGATGGCTCTGAAACTCTGGAGCAAAGAGCTTAACGACGATGTGGTGAAAAGAACACGTAAAGCTCAATATTTTTCAAGTGGTCCCAGTGGAGCTGGCATCCATCCATCTCAGGCCGCGTGAGTCACCCGTACTGCAAGTTTCCACCATGAGGTCCCAAAAATCCAGCGTGTAGAGGTGTCTCAACACTTGTGTCTTGCCCATGGCACTGAAAAGTTTGGACTGCCTTGGTGCCCAGCACTCATTTTGTTCCCTCCCCGGAAAGCAAAGGCCGGTCAAGCCAGGAAGGATTGCTATGATGTGAGGACCAACAGCCTCCTCCCAGCCCTGGACCTTGTGTGCTGACATCTGCGTCCTCATCCCTCCACCTTACCTTGTAGTACACACCGTTGAGGTTGGAGAAAAAGCACTGGTGGTACCACCAGCCGCCGTGGGAAATCTCCGCGCAGATGTTCCCCGAGTCGGGTGTGCTGAAGCTCCTCTTGTTGTGGTACCAGGCAAAGGAATCCTCCACCGTCCCGCTGAACCCATCCACGTGCAGCCGGTAATAGTTTTCCTCGTCCTCAATGCTGCAAGCAACAAAGGTGGGACTTTAACGGGGAGTGTTTGAGTCTCCTTTCCAACCTGGATACTGCACTCCTGGTGTGGATGCCTAGTAATTATTCAGCTGCTCCGGCCAGCCTCCCCGCTATGATTCATCACGTCTAGAAGCCGAGGATGTTGTGTTTTTCCCTTCTGTGGGATGTGCCTGATTTTGGCATGACTCAGGGCGCTTGCTGTAGGTCTGAGCTGGGCAGATCGTGACTCTAAAACCACAATAAAGGACTGCGGCAGCTTTAGCAGGACAGTCCCTCTAATTACACAGCACTGCCTCCTCTCCACATAGCAAGTATCCTGCTCTTCCCTTAGGCTGAGCTAATTAGTCATTTCCCCCCCAAGGCTAGCAAAGGCTGAAGGTCACTGCCCTTGCACGTGATGTCTGATGAGAAAAGCTGGGGTGACCATTCAGAACACGCATTTGCTGGTGGAGGATGCTCTACGACACATTCAGTCGGTGGGATTTGTTTTTTTCAGCAGTTTTGGGGTCTACTCGAAGCCCTCAAGCTTCAAGTGTCACAGGACATCCTCCCATGGCAGATTACTTCACAGTCACCCACAAGCATTGCCAGTAGAGACAGGGAAGTAGTTCATCGGGGACAGTCTAGACAGACCAGGTCACCCCTGATTAAGAGAGGATGTGGCTGATGTGGTATGGATAAATAAAACACCAGAGGAGGGGAAGAGCTATAGACACTGAAGGATGTTACATCAGGTCCAGTAAGTAAAGGCCATGAGTAAGTAGAAAGGGTAAAAAATCAAAACGACTCTAAACCAGAAAGATGCTGGAGGACCTGCCCAGAAAGACCATGTTTTTGACATAAAGCAGAATAATTTTGGTAGAAAAAAATGCCCTTAAGCAGCTGGGGACTGTCCATGGGGTTCTACAGCTCCCTTCCCCTGGGGCTGTAGATGCCGGCCATGGTTGAATGACACTGCACGTTCGCTACCTCACACCCAGTCTTCAATCTGGAGCAAAATTTGGTGGTACAATCCAGGTGGGGAAGAAAGGATAGACAACCTGGGCCCAACCTGAAAAGCTCTCTAGACAGAGGCACTCTGACCACAATCCCGTGCCTGAAGGTCTCCCGACATTGAACCTCTTGTGTCTATGAGAACCAGGGAAGGTCATCCCACTTTCTACCTGAAGACCTGGTAGAAAGCATGCTTGTGCTTGTTGTTCCAGTCCTCCAGGTCGATGCGCAGAGAGTAGTCCCCTTGGCTCGTCATCTTGTGGATGTTCTCGTTGCCCAGCCAGAACTCGCCATTGAGGTCCCCAAAGCCCTCCTTGTACTCGTTCCAGGTCCGGTTAAAGTCAACTGAGCCGTCTTGACGCCTCTGGATGACTGTCCAGCCCCCACCTGCCAGGAGAGAGAGAACGTAAAATGGGAGTCTCCAGGGAACATCCAAGGGTCCCAGACAGATCCCTTACTGGTGTCACCTCTGAGGATCCATCTGCAGCTCAGCACGGCATCTCCTTGTCATGTGTCCTCCCACCAACAGCCACTGGTTGCTGCATGGGGATAAAATGTGGTGCTCATCATAGCTCACGGAAAGAGGTTCCCGCCTCTCCCATGTCGGTTCATGACGGTGTTCCCCTGTTGGCTGCCAGAGGGTCATTCCGGATCTTAAGATGGTTTTAAATGAGAGAGAGATGGTAGGTTTGGGGAGGCAGATTTTTTTGGGACTGGAACAAACCAGAGATCCGGGAGCTTGGAGATTATTATGTACTGTTCCTGCAGCACCACAGAGGCACACGAGCTCTCCCAGTATTGTCTCACTGTCTCCATCTGCTCTCCCATCTGTCCAAATCCCTCTCTCCTCTCTCATTTTATTTCAATGTTGTAAGCTTGGGATGGTGGGGGGGATGGGGGACGGGACACGGGGGATGGGACTGGGGCCATCTTTTTATTTGCTGTATGTACAGCCTGTCACTCTACAGTGTCCAAGATTGTGTTGATGGTCATGCACATAACGCCGTAACAGAGACCACACGGTCTGAACAGCTTGTTTCGCAACGAGCACGCGCGTCCCAAGGCTGCAATCACCTGTAGATCCTCCAATAGGCAGCATCCCTAAAAACCTACACGTGGGGAGCTGAACGCCTTCCTCCAGCAGGGAGGGATGTGGCACTTCCATCGGGACTGGAGTAGATCCATGGGGCAAGGGACTGACAACCCACCACCCCATTCCCCTGATATTTTTCATTGTTCTTCCAAACCCCGAGTGTTGCAAGCTGATTTTGTCAGTAAATTTGCACCTTGGGATGACAGTAATGTGGTCTGTATGGGTATTTAGACAGTAAGGGTGTGGGAGGTCATCTGCTCATTCATTTACACTCCAAAATATCTGTGGGAGAGATTAACATACGCCATCCCTTCAGCACAGCTACAATTAGGAGTTGCCCACACATGGCCCTCAAATACTTGGTGACGCTCCAGATACCCCCCAGTGAGCAGCTCCAGAAGGGTTTCTCCTTCCCTAAGCCCTGTGTCGCATCCACTAGGGTGTTGCAAATGTCTTGGATGCATGAGGACATCTCAAAGAGCACTAAACGCCCATATTTAGGCAACTGAATCCCAGCCGTAATGTCTGGTTTGAAGCAGTCATCTAAACCCTTCCTTTAGTCAGCAGAGAGGATGAATCCTCTGTCCCTGGAGAAGAGCCCTTCTGGAGATGCTGCTCTCACTGATTGCAAAGTACCTTAGAAATAGCTTATCTATAAGATACTCCTCCCAGGTTAGACAAACCCCACCCAAAGCTCTGCTGGAAGATGTTGTAGGTGCTTCCTGCAGTACCTTCAGTGTCCATCTCACACAGCACTTCAATAGGCATCCCTCCCACCGAGGGCATGATGCTGTAGACCCCAGACCGCCGCAGCCCATTGTAGTAGACGGAAGCACAGTCGATGGGGCAGTTCCTGGCATGCTTCACCTCTGGGGGAGAAAGCAGAGAAACACGGCATTTAGCGCACAGCGCGGAGAAAGGGGCGTGCAACCAAAGCCAGGACTGTTTTCATGCAATCGTGACGCAGAGCTGGACAAATAATCTTAGATTCAGAGCTGCTTCTGAAGCTGAAGACCTTTGCAGCGTGTCAGCTTCACGCCCGAGTGCAGCGGCTTATTAGTGATAAGGTTCGTTAGCACAGATCGGCACTTAAGGATGCTGTGGCTCAGGAATGAGCTTCAGTTCAACAGGTTTTTTTAATGGCAACAAGGAAATGATATGTATTTTGCCAGGCTCAAAACAGATTATGTCTCACACCAAAGTGTCTTATACATTGATAAAGAATCATCGGGTTTTCCAACCATGATCAGTGTAGACAATAGTGGAAGGTTTTTCTTCTCCTGAACTGCTGCTGTGGGCTTTGTCTTACAAGGAAAGGGGATGGAAATTGTTCTGGAGAACCTAAAGACGTTTCTGACTGGGGTATGTCAGGTGGGTTTTATTTCGCCTGGCACCAGCCACCTTTACTTCAGGCAGGGGGTCTCAGCTAGTCCTTAGAGACAGGCTTCTGCAGAGGGCAGTTCATCCTGGTTTTACGTGGGAGAGAAGAGCTACTCTCCCTGTCTCCCACCATCACCTACCAAAGGAGCTCAGCACGAGCAAAGGTGCATAATGACATTCGGGAGGCCCTGGGGCTGGCTTTCAGCTGCCCCATGTAGGTCCTGTCATATCTGCCAGGCTTATGGCGATGTCTTGGAGGCTCCAGAGTATTTCAGGTGGCACTAGGTGTCAGTTGAACTGAGACCCTCGTCATAGCAGTGGAAAGAGCACGCTGAATTGCTCTCAGTCCATGCATGGCTTGCCTCATTATCTCAAATATTTAGCTCACGTGGGGACACACGTATGTAGACACCCAACATGAAGCATCTTCATTTGTGAGCTGAGCCTCCCTGGAGGGATGAATCCCATCTTCAGAAAGAAAGGCACAAAGGCAGCTCACACAGACAGCTCCCCTTCCTTTTACACACAAAGCTAGACCAGCCTGAAGCACAGTGTGGCCTGAATACCAGACTGGGATCACTGGGAGAACCAGGAACCCAAGGAAAGGAGGGAGCAGAAAGCATGCATGGGAGATTGCCCTTCCAGGAGGCAGGCAGAAAGCATGAAACCATGGGACTGGCAGATGATGAAAGCTCCTTGTGGATGGGAAAGTAAGTCTGGAGGGGAATGATGGATGAATACTGGAGAGCATGGTGGCTGGGAGGTCCCCTGCGGGCTGCAGGCTGGTGACACCCTGGGGACATCCTTTGAGGTGGGCACCAACTGGCAGTGCTGCTTCAGGGGAGTGTGTGGAAGAAACGGGTTGTGTGCAGCAAACAGAGGTCAGGGAGAGGCCATCTAGACCCAGCAAACATCTGGGACAGGAGGCAGAGCCCAATCCCACCTAAAGTTAGTCAGCTAAAAGTGCTAGGCCAGAGAAGTCACCATCCTGGTCACATCAAGTTATTGAGGTGAATCCCACCTCTGGCTTGCAGGTGGCGGTCATGGGTGTAAACATCAACTCTGGTTTTGCACAGAGCGTTTCTCACTCAGGGCTCAGAGGCACCTGGAAGCAGGTAGCAGTGGAGATGCTCATGCGACCTCCAGCAGGACATGGATGGCCGAAGGAGCTTTAAATGAGAGCAAGGGAAAAGGCTTAGACTAGTTGGCTTAGAGGAGAAGTAACGTGACTTTTTCCCCCCGTGGATGTCACCAGCTCAAATGAGATCAAGGTTGGTAGGTGAAAGCCGTTAGCACTTCTGCTGCCTGAGTCATCCAGCCTGCTCCTCAGTCAAGAAGACAGACACTGTCCCTAAAGTCCCTCAGCTACAGTTCATGGAAGGCTGGAAGACTTCCCAGGAGAAGTATGGTTTCATTCTTCTCCAATGCTCCTCCTGGGCATCTGCTGCGGAAGATGGTATTCAGGGCATGGGGACCAGGCTGGCACATAGAGTCTTGTCTTCTCAAAGACCGCCACCCCCTTGCCACAGACCCAGAGACTCGAACAGATTGCAAAAGCGACTCAGTTTCCCTTCCAGCACCTCAGGGTTGAGTTTGCAGATCCTAGTTATGGTAGGCCTTGATCAAAATGTTTTATGGCAGTCGGTTCTTTGGCACAAAATAGGGTTTTAGTCAGATTGAACCTTGAATTCTTTAATTGAAAGTTCTCATGTTTGCTAAAACCCAAAGAAAACGCTCCAGGGACTAACAAGGAAAACAATAAAAAACTTGGCAAAAATCTAAATGCATTTAAAAAGAGCGTGTGAGAAATAACAGAAATAACAGAAAACAGCTATTTTGCAGAGCTGAAGAGTTTCACCAAAGCCCTAATTCCATGCTGTGAATTTTTGAAGAAAAAACCAAAATCTTGGGGTTTTTTGATTTTTTTTAAAGTGGAAAACCAGCCTCTGGGTTTGGGAGGAAGGCTCATGCAGCTGACTGCAGGTGGGGCGATGGTGGGAGCAACGCCAACCTCATTGCTGGAGCCTGAGCTGGTCCCTGTGAGCATCTCACACCATCCACAGAGAGAAAAAGGAGACACTGAGGGACAGGACCCCTCTCCTAGACAGCCTGGAAGCCATCCCCAGAGGTGTCCATTGTTCTGGGGAGCCCTCCTGGCTGCCTTGGAAAGGCAAGTTGGGCGAGATAAGACTCCTGGGCAGTGTGAGTGGGATTTAAAGTGATTTTCCCACAACCTTTTCCTTCAGTCCCCCTCAAGAGAGATTGCCCAGGGAAGCTGTGGACGCCCCATCCCTGGAAATCCTCCAGACCAGGTTGGATGGGGCTTGGAGCAACTTGCTCTAGTGGAAGGTGCCCCAGTCCATGGCAGGACGTTGGAACTAGATGATCTATAAGGTCCTTTCCAACCCAAACCACTCTATGATTCCCCTCCCAGCCGGCCCCAGCAGCTTCCCATCACCTGGATGGTGCATCTCCTCCTGCAGCCTCATCTCGGCAGGGCTGAGGCAAGTGGGATTGCGCCAGGCCCAGTCGGTCAGGACGGAAATGTTGTTTATCTGTGCCTGCATGTCGTAGAGCAGCGTGGCCTGGATGTGCTGCAGGGTGCTGGCCTCGCTGTACCGATGCTCCAGGTCCTGCACCCGTTGAGCCAGGCTGTGGTTCCGACCGGCCGACTCCTCGTGCTGCGGGCAGGGAGAAAGGTAGGAGAGGTGGGATGCCTGGGGACTGGCGTGGAGCTGGAGGCACGGCTCCAGGACACCCCAGGGATGGGAAGGCAGGGGAACAAGAAGGCAGAGGAGCACTTGCTGCATGAACCAGCAGCGACCAAGAACCCCAAGGATGGTGCCTGCACCCTCACCCTGCAGCCCCACACCAGCCTCCAGCCCACCTTGGGAGCCATAGGCAGTGGATATTCCCAAGCTCTGGTGCAGGCAGGGCATGCACAGCCAAACCTAGGGCTGCGAGAGCAGGGCAAGCATATAGGATTCCTCTCCAAAAACCCTTCAGTCTGCAACGTATTGCAACATGGATGTGGGATCTGTGTGTCTCTCAATGCCACCACAGCTGGGTTTTCTTTCCAAAAAGTTGTCCAATCACCCCTTGAACCACATAATAGTTTGTAATATTATAAGGAGCTCCACAGCTTATCAACACGTTGCATGATGAGCCATCTCCTGGGCAATGGCTGGTGTTCTGTAAACAGCAATGACCACATCAGCGTCCAGCTCTGGGGGCACCAGCACAAGAC